GTGAGTCCAGAATTCTCTGCACCCACTGAACTTCAGCCAGTGTGGTGAGGAAGCTCCTGGCTGGGCCACAGCAGAGCCTCCCCACCCCTTGCCCCGTGTCCCAGGATTGCAGGGCCTGCTGTCACCCTAGCATCTCGGCCACCGCAGAGGCCACAGAAAAACGTGTGGAGTCCCCAACCTAAGGCAGTGCCACCCGATAGAAGGATTTCAGGGACAGAATGGAGAGGACACTTACTTGGGGGAAGGGCAGCAAAGAAGAGGGAGGGACCCGCCCGCCTGCACCCCCGGGTCCCTTCTTAGATCAGCGAAGGAAGTTTTTTCATGCCACCGATATAGCCCGATTATTCTAACCTACAGCGAAATGTGCCCAACCAGCAGGCCTCAGGAAGAGCCGGGAGGGAGGTGGCTCCGGTGGTCTGAGGACGCTATGTGGGGGTGGCTCATGGTCTCTGTGTGACTCGTGGTCTCCGTGCGACTCGCTGCAGCCACCTTCCGTCGCACGTGGGTCCACTCATCGCTCACTTTTTCCAGAGTGCAGGTACAGGCTGATCAAGGAGACACAGGCGGCATCACCCAAAGGCTCTAGTTACTGAGGTGCTCCATGGGGACATCACTGAGGGACAATAGTGGCTTCTCCACGCTCCAAACTTTTCTGCTGGTCTTTGCCTTTTCTGTCTCGTGGCCATTAGTACTACCAGGCCCCCCATGGATGACCCAGCCTCAGGGGGGTGACCTCCTTGGCTCACCAAACAATCAGGAGCCTGGAGGTCAGAAGGTCTGTCTGGATGTTTTCTTTACCTGCAGCACCTGACCTTGGAAGAGTCAAATCCCAGCCACCTTCCCAAGTGACTTTCCTGGGCAGGGGCCCCAGTGGTCCTGTTCCCTTGTGCCTTCCTACAGTCTGCCCGTGGTCGGTGATGTGTGAGGCAGTAGCCTGAGTGGACACGTCCACGGAGAGACCCTGCACTCGCTCACCCTCATGGCCAAGATATGGCCACCGAGTATGGAAGAGCGGGTCCTGGGGAGGCCCTGGGAACCTCCAAACTGCTGGCACTTTGTTGGCCTGGTTTCCTTCCTTCCAGCATCTTCCCACCGAGAGAGCCCTCTCAGGACACCGCTGCAGCCTCTGGGCTCTTGTCTGGGGAGCAGAGGAGCTCCCCTTCCCCCTTCTTCTGCTTCGGTTTTGATGTGATGCGTTGTTTTAATTCCGAGCTGCACTATTTTCCAATTAACTACTCAGTTATTGGCTCCAGTTCTTGTGAGGCAAAAACTTCCATTGCTTTTTTTCCTTCTGATTGCTCAGTGAGGGTTGGTTTGGATACACAAACAAGAAGGTCAGTGCTCTGGGGGCAAAGACCTCATTTTGCATCTCTTATATTTGCCCTGGTAGTATTTGTTGTTGCCCCCTGGCGTCGTAATGCCAGCTGATGGGCCTGCAAATCCCAACAGTTGACAAGTGATTTTTCCCCCCATTTTCTCACGGGCGTCATTGGCGCCACTCACCTGTCCAGGGTCGTTTGGAGGGAGAGGGTCAGGGCAATCCCAGGATCTGCTGCCATCCTGGGCAGATGGTGAGAGCCCGCGAGACCGGCCATTGAGGGAGCTGCTGGCAGACCTCCCAGGATCCTGCGCCCTGAGCCGCCAGAAACCCTGACATTCAACACGCCATAGGGCAGAGTGCATCTAGCTCGAGTGACCGATGTCCCTCCCCCCTCCCATGGGAGCAGTCCACCAGGCAGGTGCTCTCGGAGCTGCCTGGCAGTTGGCTGGGAAACCGCAGAGCCAGGCCCTGACTCACAGCGCCCAGAGCAGCCACACCAGAGGGTGAATGAAACCTCGCTCGGGGAGGTATTTGTAAGTTGCGTGTAGTTATTCACGTGGCACATCTCACTAAAACATCAACTGCTGAGTCATTCGACTAAAGGTTTTTGAGCACCTACCAGGGTGGGTACTGGGACAAGGGTGGCGGAGACACGAAGAGGAAGGGACGCGGGTGCTGCCTGGAGGGTGTCGCGAGGTAACTGACAAGAATCGCCCCACACTCTGTGGGAATTCGTGTTGAAGGACACGCGTGGTCCCAGACTACTAGGCACTCCACTGTTAGCCCAGACAGGTAGGAAACGGACCGCCTCCCATGCTGGTGATTCAAGCGTAGATTGGTAGGATCTTTTTGGAAGGCAATTTGGAAATACCCATAAAATTTGAAAATATGCGTACTCTTCAACCCATAATTCTACTTTTGTGTATACCTATGCTGGAGAAATACTTTCACAAATATTTTTTTTCTAAAACATGCATTTTCAAGGGTGTTTATTGCCGTATCTGTAACAGTAAAAATGCTAATCAGTAGCAGAATGGCTAAATAAATCGTGGTATATCCATAGCATGAACAGCACAGCTGTTATGTTACCCTTTATGAAATTGTCATTCTGGTTATTTTTGACCTAAAACAAATGGCAGTTTCATATATTGAACAGAAATCCCTGTGCCTGTGTTTATCTTCAAAATGGGGATAATAATAGTGCCTCCTACTCTCATAGAATTAATGTGAGGATTTCATGCAATACCACGTGCAAAGCCCTTGGGACAGTCCCCAGCACATGGCTGGAGCCCAACAAATGTGTGCTAATATCACTATGTATATGTATCAACATGGAAAGATTCAAAATACACCATTTGGAGAAAATCACTATATTTACATTTTTACAAAGGCGGATGAAATATGAACCCATTTGTGGGTGGGAAACACATGAGCCAGTGTGTGTGCGTCGTTGAGTAAATGCCTAGGAACGGGACTAGAAGGCTTCCTTCCAAACTCTTCCTAGAGGTGAACCCTGGAGAAGGGAGCGGGAGGGGGAAGGGGAGGAGAGCTGCTGGGAGATAAGGCAGCCGCCTGTTCAGGGACTGGTCTCAGGGACCTGTCCTTATTCCACCGTGGGGCGGGTCGGGCTGTCTCTGCAGCTGGGGGTGTCGTGTCTGCGGCTCATGTTGGAGCCTGAAACCCCCAGGGCAAGCAATCAAGGCGTGATGGATGTAAGTTGGGGAGATCAAGGGGTTGGAACCCTCAAGTGCAACCCGAAGCCTTAGGAGGGCTTGCGTCAGCGAGGGGACACACAGAACCTGGCCCAGGAGTCAGACGAGCTGGGGGCGGGGCGGGGGGAGGGGCAGTTGGAGACCCAGCTCTGATGCTGCCTCAGGCGGAAGAGGTGAATCAGCAGGTCTGCAGCCCTGTGTGTGTGTGTGTGTGTGTGTGTGTGTGTGTGTGTGTGTGT